GCGCGCGCGCACAGGGAGGGTGCGTGCTTGTGAGAGAGCGCAAGAGGATGCAGCCTGTGGATTCAGCTCTCTGACGGTCACTCCCAGGGAATCACCCGCAGCTCGGAACACAACAGGAATCCCGTTATTGTCTGTTTCCAGGAGAGTCTCTCACATCACTCTCCCTCTCCATCGGCACCCCGTCTCTCACACTCGCGCCAGACTCACGGCATGGTAGGAGACAGACGTGTCCCGGGACACACAGACACGCGCTTCTATAAAGCTGGCTTTGTGGCGTCAAAGCTAGCTGCTCTGTAACTGCGGGTGGAACCTCAAAGTGACTCTAACACTCCAGTGTCTGGAGAGGGCGGAGAGGAAAACGGCCCAGCCCAGGGACAGTGGCTCTCTGGCAGGCTGTGGTGAAGCCTCTCCTGCATGACTCAGGTCTGTGATCTCACCGGGGGGGGGAAGAGGAGGAGGAGGAGGAGGAAGTGCGGACAGGCTTCCCCACCCTGCCCACCTCCAAGCCTCTCGGTCACAGGGTGCAGGTCAGAGGTCAGGGGCCACCGGCAGCGCTGGCCCAGAGAGGCTTCTCCCCAGCGCCACGTCACCGAGAGAGACCCGGGACCACAAACCCCACCTTCCCCCCCAAGGGCCGGCTCAGCCTAGTGACATGACCCGGCCTCGAACCCACGACACAGCCTGGGTCACAGGTCTCCACCTGCGCTCGGGCCGAGTCTCGTGCGACTCCCCTGCACTGTGGAAGTTAATCCAGCCTGGGGCTCCTCCCACACTCGAACTGCCCACAGGGCGCCTCTCGCCCTGCTGCACGCCCCTCGGGACTGGGCTCCGGACAGCTCGCGCGAGACTTTCCAAAACCGTGCGTGCAGAAGGGCCGTCGTGGCCGCCCGCCCGGGGTCTCCGAGCGCACCCGGCGCCGGAAGCGTACCTGAAGGCCCGGCCTCGTCCTCTGGGGGGGGTGTATCCACTGTAGTATCGGGAGCGGGACGTCGAGAAGTTCCCTCGCGAGCGGAAGCGGGCTCTGGGGAAGCCGCGGTCTGTGGTGCTGATCCCTGGCCGGTTCGTGCGCTTGGCTCCCACCTGCACAGCAACACGCGCACAGTGAGACAGTCGCCATGGCAACACGCGCTCGCCACAGGACAACCGCCGCCATGGCGACGGGCGAGACACTTTGAGACCTCGCACAGTCACATCCCATCTCAAGACTCACTTTTAAAGCACAGCTCTTCATTCTGGTAAACTTGCCGTTTTCATCTTTACTCAGGACTGTTTTACTGTATAGCGCCTTGAGATGATGTAACACAGAGAGCTCTACATAAAACATGTCACTGCTCCCTCATGACGGTGCTGCTATCCCTGGTCCTGGAGGGGCCCAGTTAGTCAGAGACTTCCAGCAACACAGGGCAAAATCGTCCTGACAATTCAAGCAAGCCTCTCGGCTTCATCACCATCATCACAGACCTGGAAAACAGACTTTAGCCCCAGTAAAGAGGACCTCAGGCCTCTGGACCTGCTTGTACACTGATCTGCAGCAGCACATGAGACACCAGTCCTCACAAGCCCCTCAGTGACCCCTGCTGCCCAGCGCACACGGACAGACGGCACCCACGCACCTTTATCTGCCTCCCTCTGAACAGAGACTCGTCCAGGGCCATGGCCGTCCGCACGGACTCCTTGTCTGCAAACTCGATGTAGGCAAACCTGCGCGGGACACCAGTCATTAACGCACGGCGCTTACCAGCGGCACCCCCGCGGGGCGCCGGGGCTTACTTCTGCCACGGCCTGCGAGCACCCAGAAGCCCAGCCCGGGAACCCGCTCCGGAAGCCCGTCTGAGCGCGCTGGAGTCACAGCTCTTCACAGCTAGTCGGGGCCACAGCCGGGCCCCGTGACCGCCGCCCAAGAAAGAGCCCCACGCTCACTCGCGGCAGAACCAGAGCGGGGCGCCGAGACCGTCAGCGGCCGCTCGGGGCTCAAAAGTGCGTCGGCTGGGTCCCGGGGCGCCTGTATCCCCCCCACCAAGGGACCCGCGCGCTGCAGTAACACTCAGACAGCTCTGCTTACCCTTTGGGGTGTCCGGTGAACTTGTCGCACAGGATGGTGACTCTGTTGACGGAGCCACAGCCGTGGAAATGGGCCTCCAGCTCCTCCGCCGTGGCGCCGTAGTCCACCTGCGAGACAGAAGGGCACGGCTGAGGC